TTTTTTCCTAGAAAGATGAGATAATTTCCTACAAGTTTCATGTTTTTAAGTGGTTCCAATTCTGATGTTATGAATGATGTTTTAGGCAGACAAAAGAAGATAAAGATTGTTACCAAGTCAAGAGTTGGCCACCCACTCATCAATTAATCATCAAATCAATAGTTCCCAATTTTAGCCTATAAAAGGAGGCATTTGCTATGCATTTAGGCATCTTGGTTTCCAGATCAAGATCATGCTCTTGCTTTCTCTCTTTGTATTTTTTGTATTGCTTAGGGTTTGCTTTCATTAATATCAAGTTTATGCCTTTCATTCCCTTTCCTTTACTTAGTTAACTTTTATCTTATTTATCTTCTTATTTTATTTATTTATTTTTCTTTCTTTCATTATTTTTAGCTAATTTTATTATGCCAAGGTGAAAAGGTTACACTAATGGTGTAAGAATAAGTAGGAGCTGTAGATCTCAGATTTAGGTCTACTGTATATGGATGGAAAGGTAAGACATAAGCCTACAACTTTCATATGGAGCCTAAGATCTAAAAAGGTAATTTTCAAGTTCAAATTATAGAAACAACAAAGAAGTCCAAATCTGTCTTCCAGCCCAAACACTGTTCAATGTTTGGCCCATATCTGGAGTTTTAGAAGTCCAAATGACCTGAATTGTTTACACAAGAAAGCTGAGACAATTTCTTACAACTTTTATGTTTTCAAGTGGCTCCAATTTTGACGTTATCAATGATGTTTTGGGCAGACAAGAGAAGATAAGGATTGTCACCAAGTCAAGAGTTGGTCACCCACTCATCAATTAGTCATCAAATCAATAGTTCCCAATTTTGACCTATAAAAGGAGGCATTTGCCATGCATTTAAGCATCTTGGTTTCCAGATCAAAATCACGCTCTTACTTTCTCTTTATATTTTTTGTAATGTTTATGCTTTGCTTTAATTAATATCAAGTTTATGCCTTTCATTTCCTTTCATTTACTTAGTTAACTTTTATCTTATTTATGCTCTTATTTTGTTTATTTATTTATTTTTTCTTTCATTATGTCTAACTAAGTTTAATATGTCAAGGTGAAAAGGTTACACTAATGGTGTAAGAATAAGTATAGTGTAAACTTAATATGGACTTTAATGTTTGATACTAACATGCTTTGTATTTGTTATCTTGTTGACTCTTTAATACTTTGCTTATTAAATGACTAATTTTGATTTATGTTGTATAACACTTGGTACAACAAATGCTTGACACTTTCATAGCCCATATTGTATGGTATAACCGACACCTGAGCTATGAAAGAAACTTGATTTGTTGTTAACATAAGTTATAATCATGAATGCTTAACGAGATTCACAAGTATTAGCATTAATCGAATAAGATGACTAATGTAATCATGTTAACAATCTATAATCTGATTGGAACCTCCTTTGTGTGTGGTTTCCAATTGAATAATAAGAGTTTATACTATACTTGTTTGACATACCATTAATGGAACCTCTAACCTTGACATTTGTTATTATCATTGTTTAATCCTTACATTAATATTCCATCTCGAAGTTCTCATCTTCTTCTTCTCCTTCTTTTTATTTATTATTATTACTACTACTACTACTACTACTACTACTACTACTACTACTACTATTATTGTTGTTGTATTATTGTTATTTATAATTTGTACAATTAACCTCCCCGTGGTTCGACCCCTGTCTTGCCGGGTTATTTATTAATTCAACACTCCTGCACTTGGGAGAAGATATCAATCTTTTAGTCATGTCAACTAGCCACCAAACTCGCTGTCCAACAATGCAAAACATATATATCAATTTATCTTCTTCCAATGAACAACCATTATGCTGAAGACAAGCCTCCACCAATAGATGCACTAGCATCAACAACTACTTATAATCATAAAAAATCAGGCAAAATGTTGCAACTTACTAGAGAAGCGTAGAAATATAAGGCATGAAAGCTTGTAGGAAGAGAAGTTCAATAAGTAACATGATAATCATGTGTAAATAAAGAATAAAATATATGATAAATAAGTAGTTGGTTAGAAGTTAGGAGTTAGTTGAATTCCTTGTATATAACATTGTAACAAAAGCATGATGAACAAGTAATGGAGTAACAATTTATATATTAGACCTTCTTTCGTTCTTTTTCTTCTTCCTTTCTAACATTCACTTGTTAAGGCCAAGGTCTAACAATTGATATAAAAGTTGATCCTCGACCATTAATCGATTTTAGGGTTGTTTAAAGCTTAAGAAAATGGTAAAGAAAATTAATATTATGAATGTGGAAGAATATTGTAAAAAACTTGATGAAAAAATACAAGGGATTCATAAAAAAAATTCAAGAAACAATGATAAAAAAATAAACAAGGTGGATAAAACAAGATAAGAGATCTAATCAAATCAATTTGAAAATTAAAGCCCTAACTAACCATATCCAGTCATTCTTAGCTAATCAAATGGTAAGAAAGACAATTGGGGATAATTCCACAAGAATCTTGTCAAATATAATAAAACTTGAGCTCATGTCACATAGGAAATAATACTACTTGGATTTAAAAGCTATGGTTGTGGAGAAAATATGGGAAACCAGGATCACTACAAGGCTAGAAACAATCCGACATTGCCAATAATGGATTTGCAAACCTTCTGGGAGATAGTCCTAGAAGATGGGTAAGGAAGTGTTAACAATTCTTCTAACTAAACTTTATGCCTATTTATAAATAGGTAACGATGTCTTCTTTATACTTGGATGAAAATGTAGAGATTTAGTTTGAGGAATTCATGTATACAGGTTAATATCTAATTAATTAGGATAAATTCTATAAGGCCATTTGTAAAAGATTTGGTGGTAGAGACGATATAGTTGAGGAATTCAACAAATTGATATAAGATAATAGAGTGAAAGATCATGTGGAGAAGTTTGAGGAATAAAATCTTTGATGAATGCATTAAATCCTCCTGTACTATAATCTTATTATATTTCTAGCATTATTAGTGGATTAAGAAAAGATACCAAGCCGATGCTTAAGATCTTGAAACAAACTTTATTTGATGTAATCTTTTGAGCAAACAAAATAGTGAGATGAGTCTATGGCCAGGAAAAATAAGATTGTTCAAAGATCAAACTTTCCTTTTAATATAGGAAGAACAACATGTAACTTTTCATCCAAGTCTTCTAACCAATTAAAGATTAAGGCACCTCGAGGACAAAGCATTTTTATGATACTTTGCATAAATAAAGGAGAAAATTGGGCTTATATTTTAAATGTAGTGATATGTACATGCCTGGTTATCAATGTAGCCCTAAAAGATTAAATATGATAAAGCGGAAAAAATAAGAAATGAAAGAATTTTTAGATGTTGGGAGAAAAATAAAATTGGAAAAATAGTAGGCAAGTTTACTGTTAAAGAATATTGATTATCATTAAATACACTAACAGATAACTATATTCACGGTACAATTATGATAAAAAGGAGTTGTCAGGATAATAATTATCTTAATTAATATCGGGAGCATCCACGGTTTCATAGATGAGTATGTGATTAAAGGAATTAAGGTTGCTGTTGTTAAAACCATAGTATTAGCAATTATAATAACAAATGACAATGTGATGTGAATTCAGGGCTGACTTGAAGATTTTAAAGTTGAGAAGGTGTAATAATATAATGTTGGGAGTTGATTATCTGAGATTATACTCACCTATTCTATTTGATTTTATCAAGATAAAATTGTTATTTGGGAAGGTAATATGATTGAATTGAGAGGAGTTTTCAAAGAAGCAAAGTTACAAATGGTTTTTGTAACTGAAGTATATAAAGAGTCTTAAAGAGACCATTTATGAATATATTGACCAATTTTTCTCTATAGAAGCTATTAGTAGATCATTATATATGGTGAAAAATTCACAAATGAAGACCTTATTGAAAGAATATCAAGAAGTCATTGGTGAACCAAAATAACTTATTCTAATAAGACAAGTGGATCATATAATTCCACTAATTTCAATATTTAATTCAATGAATATAAGACCCTACAAAAGTTTATTTATCCACAAGTAAGAAATTAAAGAATTGGTTAAAGAGATGTAATTCAACCTAGTTACACTTTCTATGCCATTTGGTGTTAGTTAAAAAGAAGAATAATTCATGGAAATTTTGTGTTGATTATAAAAAACTTAGTGATCTTGCTATTAAAAATAAGTTTTCAATTCCATTAATTGATGAATAAGTTGTATAGTTCTTAATTTTACTCTAAATTGAACTTGAGATCTAGTTACTATTATATTAGGATGTTTGGGTAAGATATTAAAAATTCTATCATAATCAATATAATCATTTTTGTATTCCTCGATGATATATTAATATATGATTCTACATTAAATATGCATATCAAATATATAAGAGAAATATTAAAGGTATTGAGAAAGAATCAATTGTATACAAAAAGATGCAAGTGTTTTTATTGTGAAAATCAAATAGAATACTTGAGTCTATCATCATATCGGCAAAAGGTGTTATCATAAATCCTAAGAAGATTGAAGTAATAAAGGATTGACCTACTCCTAATTCAGTTTGAAAACGAAGGGGATTTCGAGGCTAGCCGGGATATCACATGAAGTTTACTGAAGGGCTGGTAACATTAACAAACCTTAAACCTTTAACTACTAAAGACGGACAGGTTCCAGTGGAGTATAAATGCTGAAAAAACATTCATTCAATTGAAAGCAGCTTAATGCAGAGCCTTCAGACTTTAATAACACGTGTTCTGAAAAGTGATGCTTGTTCTCCATGATTAGATGCAGTTTTATGCTAAAATAGCAGACCATTGGCCTTTTCCAGTAAGGCATTAGGGTTAAGCATCAGATGAGAAGGAGCATGTATATTTTTTGAATTTTTTATCATATGTTTTTTTTTTCTTTTTTAATATTTAGAATTAGTTGTTCTAGATATCAGCATGTGGGACTCCTAAAAGAAATCAAACAGAAAACTGAAACCTGATTTCACCAAACATAAATTATCAAACCAATGGATGAAGATACTTTAAATTTATAAGAGAGAGATTGTAAATTATGATACACCAGGAAGTAGTATAATTGAAACTTTCACAGGGGACGATGGATTGATCCAACCATCAGGCATTCAAGCAATATCAAGTATTAGCCATGGACTCAATTAGGAGCTGATAACCCTCTGGTACTGCTGTCTGTGCAAGCACACAATCTGCTAACGCCGGAACATCAGAATTGAGGTCCAGAAACTTGGCCAGAAATAGCAAGAGGTGAAAATCAGAAATTCTCTTCACAAATGGAAGATTCTTTGTACGGTCCAGATGACTCCTCAACGCTCTCATTGTCACTTGTGTGATCCTGTTCTCAATGGGGAAGGCTGATGAAAGAGGGCCCTGCATTAAATAATTCATGGGCAAGAACATTGAACTTCTCCACAAGAGGCAGCAGAAGAGATATAATCATCCAGGACTGTGACATTAGTATCTTGAAAATTCATTATGGCATGATAAAGAAGAATCAAATGAATGAATAGCTCCCCAGCACAGATATCCACTGAATGTTAAGTGACAAAGTCAAACAGGCGATGTCTACTGCTGTATAATTTTTCATTTTTCCCTGCTTACATTGCATTTTTCAGTCAAAGCCACAGTTTCCTTCCATGAACGGGGAAAAAAAAACAAATCCTAGACTAAATATCAGCTGATAGTCCTAACATAGATAGCGTCATTCTCAGGTTTCATCCAAAAAGGAACAAACAGTACTGCATGTGCCTGCTCCAAATATAGAAGTTCTAGCAATCTCAAATATTCATTATGTAACCTACCGGCATGATCTAGCATCAAAGGTGAACTTACTCAAAACAGAAAATGCCAAACCATTCAAACTTGTAGCTGTTGCATGAATTTGAAATACAGGTTCCATCCCCCAGTTTCAGGTATCAGGGCAGTCAATTGAAAAATGGCCCACTAATTATTCACCCATTTCTTTTTCTTAGTGGATCTGTGTCATTTGTACAGTTAAATTTCCACAGTGGAAATATATGGCAGCAAATAAATTCCATGCGAGACCCAATTAATATTAACTACATGTCATGCTGGCGCGATACCACGGAGTTATGCGTTGTTGTGGATTTGTAAAAAAAATCATAAAAAACATTATATGGAAAAAAATTGTTACAATCCACAATATTTTCAAGGAAAAAACTACAAAACTAAATTTTCAACCAGCTCAATATTAAAAAAATAAAATTGATAGAAATAATTTAAAAAAATAAAAGGAAAAAAAACCAAGCATGAAAATACTGTAGCAATCTATAATATTTCATACAGAATTATAAAGTTGTAATTGTCTACCAGCTTAATATTAAAAATAATAAAATCAATAACAATTTAAAAAAATTATAGCAAAAAAAAATCATGTGGGAAAATACTATAGCAATCCACAGTGTTTTCAAGAAAAAAATTACAAAGATAAATTCTCAATCAACTCAATATGAGAAAAATAAAATAAAAAAAACAATTCTAAAAAAAATAATTATACAAAAAGGGATAAAAACCATGAGCAGGCTTGTGCGTTGTCGTGGGTTTGTGAAAAAAAATCATAAAAAAAATTTATATGGAGAAAAACTGTTGCAATCCACAATATTTTCAAAGAAAAAACTACAACGCTAAATTCTCAACAAGCTCAATATTAAAAAAATAAAATCGACAAAGATAATTTAAAAAAAAATCAGAAAAAAAACAAAAGGGAAAAAAATCAAGCAGGGAAACACTGTAGCAATCTATAGTATCTGATAAGGAATTCTAAAGTTATAATTTTCATCTAACTCAATATTAAAAATAATAAAATCAATAAAGATAATTTAAAAAAAAATCATATAAAGAAATATTGTAACAATCCAGTGTTTTAAACAAAAAAAACTACAAAGTTAAACTCTCAACCAGCTTAATATATAAAAAAAAATCCACAAAAACAATTCTAAAAAAAACAACACAAAAAAAGAAAAAAATTTGGAAAAAAAATCATTTAGAAAAACATTGTAGCAATTTATAGTGTTTTGTGAGAAAATATACAATTGCAATTCTCAACCAGCTCAATATAAAAAAAATAAGATCAACAAAGATAATTTTAGAAAATATCACAAAAAAACTTGCATGACTGCACAGCTAGACAGAATCCCTCGTATAGCATAACTTATATCTCTAAACCATCCCTTCAAATGCTTCTCTTCATTTTCAAGCAAGAATCATGCTCAGAACACTCTAAAAGAATTTTGCTATAAAAAGGATCCTTTCAGGCTTTCTCACAATAAGAAGCTCCAATACTCCTCCAAAAAATTATACCTTTTATGTAAAGGTTGCCAAACTATATACACCTCAACAGCAAACATTCCATCTTGTTTTTGCATAACACATAAACATAACCGTGATTGTCTCATGCCAGCACATAAAATAACCATACCCCCATCCTGAAAATATTATGATTTATTGGATATACGATATTGCCATCTTTGTTGCCAGCATATCCATATCCAGTCTTTGTGGTTATAAAATATGGTTGACTCGTTATTCCATGATATTTGTTGAGCAAACAATCTATATGAGACCCTTAAAACATCACATAATTGACTAGCTGGCCCCTCCATCCAAGGCCTAGTAAAAAGAAGAAGACCACAAAGGAATATATATATATATAAATCATCTCTAGCAATCTGCACTTCGAAATAGAATGATTTATGTAAAGCTTCATATCCAGTTCCAATGACTCTAGCTTACCCACTGGCACATATATAGCTGCAAAACTTCTAAAGAACCCCCCCCCCCCCAAAAAAAAAAAAAAAAAAAAAAACAGATATATCCTTCTAAGAACCTAGCTAGCAATCTCATCTCATGTATATGAAGAATGGAACTTCAACCTATCCTAGAACTTGGTACTCAAAAACTAGATGCACTGCAGCAATCAAAATAACGAGAAAACAGTGAAAGTTGACACTTCCTATGTTAAGCTATTTCTGTCACAAAAAAATATGAACAAAGAGAATACATATCACATCCCAAGTCACTCTGAAGCACACTCTCATGCATATGGCTCCGGAACTTTTTTTTTTCTTTTGCCCCTCATGTTATTTTCTCTTTCCACATTGCTGGAATGCTATAAAACCTTCTCGTTAATGAAGATTTGGACAATTTCAGTCCAGAACTAGCTTAACACAGAGAAATTTATTAGATATTCTTTTTCCACTCAACTATCAACTATCAATCAATAAAGCATAATCCTATTTCCCAGGGAAAAGAATACTTATCAACCAAAGATAAAGCCCAATATCAGAAAATAAACAACAACAAAAGAAATGCAATTATCAAATTTAAGGAAAAAGACTAACGCGTAACATACCAGGTGATCTAAAATCTTGACAACGACCAAGAAAAAATCATTATCGACCTCCTTAACATCCTTGCTACCAACAACCACATCTTTCTTCATTTTAGACAACTTAGGATCGGCATCTTCCCCAATCTCCGTCTCAAACCATCCTTCTTTAAACAGCCTAATACACATATCACTCATCTGAAACGCCTCGAAATGCACATCGGCTCCCCCATCCTCATTCACCTCCAACTTCACCACCGCAGTAACCCACTCTTTCAATTCACTCTCAGCATGCAGCTCCGCCGCCTGAAGAACTTCCCTATGCGACAACGTATATTCCTTTTTGTCCTGCATTATAGTCTGCGTAAAAATAAACCCCACTCTCCTCATTCCCAAACACGCCGTAATCGCCTCCACTAATTTTTCTTCATCAGAATCTCTCAAGAGCATCAAAACCTCTTCAGTCCCCTGCTGCGGAGGCTCGTATATGAAATCGACTTCAACCTTCCCCTCCTCCGACACCGTTCCGTACATAAACCCACCTCTTTTAACAGCAAAAGCGAGCGTTTCATTAACATAATGCTGAAACGCATTAGCGCAATCGCGATCAAACGAGACAGAATCGCAGTGGGGATTTTCTTGCCTGGTGACTCTCATCTGTTTGGCAATAAGATCGTCGATTGTCATCTTCCGGCCGAAAGAACCAGCAGGTCGAACAGCGGGGCCGGCAATAGTTCTCTCTCCATCGTAGGCTAAGAAGATAAGGGAACCGTGAGAGATGCTTAGGGAAGAGAGAGGAGTGTCAGGGTTGGACATGTCAGTGAATTTGAGGAGATCGGAGGGTGATTTGGCTAAGAGGAGGCTTTGGTTGGTAGAGAGGGTTTGGCTGCGGATAGGGATTTGGAGTTGGTTTTGGATTAGGGTTTTGAGTTGGGAAACTGTGATGTTTGGGTTGTCGATGGAGACGCGTTCCAGCCCGTCTCTGCTGCGGATTCGAACCATCACCATCTTGCTTGTTTTGCGAGTATTGATCAGAATTCTGATCTTAATCTGAAGAAGGAGAATCGGTTGCTTTGCTTCGCAGTGTGAAAACAGTGCGAGCGAGCAGAGGACCTTTAATCATTTTCTTTTTTATATGCGATGCTTGCTGGACGGGGAAGACGGTAAAAATGACGTCTCGCAGCTCATCTTTCCTATAAACGGTGTCGCGGTGTCCTCTACTGCTGGTGCACTTTCCACAACGACGCCGTATTTAAAAAGGGCGAACTGTATCTTCTACCTTGTAGTCCATAAATCTTCCATTTCAATCCTATCACGTCAATCATTCATTATACTCCTTTCATAAAAGAATCACTTAAGTTTATTTTTTAAAATATAATTTATTTTAAAATATATTAAAATAATATTTTTTATTTTTTTAAAAATAATTTTAATTTCAATGCATCAAAATATATAAAAACATTAAAAAAATATTAATTAAAAAATAATTTTTAATTTATTTAAAAATACTTTTAAAATACAAAAACTAATAAAACTTTACAATACATCAAATTTGTGGATTGATACAAGACCACAGTGACTATAAAATATGACTATGTAGATTACTAGGATAAATCTAATTTAAATTTAATTTTAAAAAAATATTGATCGATTGATCTAATTAAATTAATTCTAGATTTAATCTGGTAGAGAGATAACTTGTATGATTTTGGGACATTAGTTCAGGGATTGGGTACCTACAGACGAGAGGAGCGACTTGACCATTTGCTCTGCTGCTCACCGCTTGAATCACTTCAAAAACACAAGATATCATTCTCAAGCACAGTCAATCTGCAAAGACTAGAACATTTGTGGTCGAAACAGAAGAAGATTGCCTCCTGCAATTCACTGGCATATGATCTTTCCATCATGCCTGATGCCATGACACTTTTCGCTTGTGATTTGTATCAGGACTAACCAAATCCACTGCTACTAATTTCTGCCGTAGCTCACTGTGCCAGCCCACAGGCAATCCAGCAAGGACCAGCCTTCACTCCACAGTGAGTAGCAGTCCAGCATCAGCCTATGCACCTGCCACCGGGCACCTCTTCCCGGAATAGCTGACAATCATGATTGTAATTCAAAACCAAAAGTCTAAAATGCTATAAACAAAAATCTAGCTTGACTTATTAACAAATAACTGGGAATGCATGCTAACATGTTGAATAAGTTAATAAGATCATCCATACTCATCTTCTTTTTTCTTTACAAAACGAAATATTTTAGAAAAGAGATGATCAAAGATAAAAACGACAGACAAGACCCAAGAATGAAACTCAAAGGGAAAAATATAACTAAAAAAGCTAGCTACCCTAAAAATTACGTGAACAAATTAACTCATTGCCCATATAAAATATGACTATATATATATATATATATATAATCCGATTAAAAATTCAAAACCATTCAAAATCAGTCAAATTTGATAAAATCGATAAAACCGGATTGATTTCACAAGTTAGACTAAAATTAAAAAAATTTATTGATTGAGTCACTCTATGAGTTCTTGTCCTTGAATCCCCTGCCTATCCACCCACAATCCCCACCCCTAGTCTCCCATTTCCCCTTTACTCAAATCTCAAATTCTCAACTCCATTGCCTTGCATGCATTTCAAAGATGCCGCCGCTACTAAAAACTGAGAGATCGCAAGAAAGAGATGGAGTCGAAGAGGAGAGCAATAACTCCCATCGTTTAAGATTCAGACACATTGTCTTGGCCTTCTCGCTTCAAATCAACAGAAAAAGTATGTTATGTGACTCATGTGATTTTATCTTCTGTTTTTGACTAGTGGTGTCTGCAACTGCAGTAAAGATCATAAATCTATATGTTTCCATTTAATCATAACTTGTAATTGCATCGAAGAGATCGAAGATCTATACGCATGCATAGGGGATTAAGAGAAGATTGTAGCTCAATTATGGCCATGTTTTGTCGTATTTTGTGTGCAGTGTGCTTGTAAAATAATTGTAAGAAATATGCAAGTGAAATTGCCAAATATTCATCTAGTATGAGAGAGGAAAACTTGGAAAAAAGTTATGGAGTCCCTATGAGCCTTTATAACCACTCTTTTGACAAGTTGTTTGCATAGTGCTACAAAGGTTATTACCATCTCTGCCCCTCTCACTTCTCCTTTTTAATTATAATCTAAGAATTTGGTAATGATTGGTTTTTTCACCTAATTATTATATCTGAATTTCACATGACTTTAGTGTCCGAGAAGATTTAGTGAAGAATTAAATTTTAGTTAATAAAATTTTATAGATATAATTGTATTTTTAAGTTATTTAAATTATATATAAATTTTTATTTAAATGATATATTTTAAGATATTTAGACATTTATATTATTTATTTCATTTTTATTTTAATTGTATTATATTGTTAATTATTATTTAATTGAAATTGTCAATACATAATTAGTATTTTATGATTGGAATTTACAATCTAAATTTATATTATATATTTTATATTATGTTAAAAAAATATTTTTGACAATATTAAAACTACATAAATAACTATTGAGAGCAATGGCAACTCTAAAGCTACCATGCCGTGGAGGAGTTTGGCATCACGGGCTATAGGTGAGATTAAGTTAAAACCCAATTTTATTATATTTGGTTAGATAATGCATAATATTCTCACTAGAAATTGAGGTTTAACCTCAATTTCTAAAAAACAATTTTTATTTGCTTTTTAAAAGCATTCTCTCTCACCTACACTAAGAAAAATTACGGAGAAGAAAACTATTGGAAAAAAAAATTATCAAAACAACCTGATAATCTAAAAATTTTATCTATTATTGCTAACCATTTCTAAATCTAGCATTATCATCTTATTTCCAAATTTTTCCTACCTTGTTATTCCCCTTCATTCCATTCTCTCATCTTGATAATTTTCTAACTTGCCTTTTTCTATTTCTTTGAATTTACCTTGCTAAACTTGTTTAATAGAAGGTAATTTCCACTGATTAATAAGCTTTGTATTGTTTTTTTTTTTTATAAATTGAAATCTTATATCCCAGCACCCTCTTTTTCATTTGTTTTCATGTTAGATCAAATTCAACATAGATTTTCATATGATTTGGGCTAACATGGCATTTCTTTTTAGGTTTATAGAAATAAATAATAAATCTGTGTTAGAGAAACCCAAACAAGAGAAGAGTAAAGATGTTGTAAACTCTCTCTTTTTCATTCGTTTTCATGTCAGATCAAATTCAACATAGATTTTCATATGATTTAAGCTAACATTGCATTTTTTTTTAGGTTTGTAGAAATAAACAACAAATCTGTGTTGGGGAAACCCAAACAAGAGAAGAATAAAGGTGTTGTAAACTTGTTTATGTAACAAACACTAATCATGAGTTTCTTTCTTATCTCCATCTAATTTAATTGTAATTAATTGTCAATGTTGTTAATTAACTACAAACTATTGCTCTCTACGCAACATGTTTTTGAAAGTAGGTGATTTTCTTTATAATTTTTTGATGTTGCAATTACTCATATTTTATGGAATTTTGTATGTTTTATTAACATGGGTCTTGTTTGCTCTAAAATGGGTTTCCTTTTAGTTCGATTAATAATTGGATTTAACTACTGCTTCTTTATTTTCTTTTGTATATAGCTGAAGGAAGTGTAATATTCTATTTTGTGAGGATTGAAACAGGGTATTGTATAATTGATAAAGTTTTGAGGCTTTTTTTTTTCTTTTCATATAGAAGAGTAAATAATCATCTTGTTTATAACAAACAAAAGTCCTAAATTGTAAATTGGGTTTATTTGTAGAAAGTAATGTTGAAAGTCTTGAATTGTAGATTGAGTTTGATTTGTAGAAATCAATGTTTTTTATAATTGGGTAAAGTTGTTGCGGTTGAAACAAATGAGGGAAAGTTTCTTTAATTATTGCTTAGCATTTATATTCAATATAAAAAGCTTAATACCCTCATCCTCTTTAAACAAAATCACTTGGTATGTATGGTATGACTTTGATGCTAGCTCTGCTATATGTCTCTCATGCTTCCAGTTTGATATTGAGGGAAACAAGGCACTGTAAAAGGCCTCCAATGCTTAAATAAAAATGAAATTCACTTTTAAAAAATTAACAAGAACAATTGATACTCTAACAATAACCCCAACAAATAGATAAGGTAGTCAATTTCAAAACTTAAAATTCAATTACTAGAAAGCCAAGGAAAAAATTGGAGAAAAGACACTATTGATTTTTATAGTATGCAAGCATGTGACATGTTTATAGTCATCTTTATAATTACCCCTCACATTCTGTTGTGTTTTGTTTTGTTTTATTTTATTTTATCCTGTAAATTATTGAAGCTACATTGTATCAACACCTAATGCTTTCAATTTTCCTTAAAGAAAGGTTATTAAAGTGTGTTTCGTCAAATATCAATAAACTAAAGTGTTCTTATTATTTAATTTCGCAAGTGCACGAATCGTAATAAGTTGTAAAGTGATAAGTAGAGTATCGTCCCATGAGGATTTATAAAAATTACTACTAATTACCAAAGTCTTTTAAATTATGATCTATTTAAGGAATTGAATGAGATAGTTTATGAAACAAAAATTAATGATTAAAAACAAACAACTAACTAATTAAATATTATTGAATTCAATTCTACTATTTCTAGAATTTCTGACTTGTCATAACTACTCCTATGTGAACTTTCTCAATTGAATTAATTACTCCTAGCATTGATAATTAGGTTTTTCTAATTTGAATATTAATCTCTCTCGAGTATTAATGAATTATTCAATAAGTAAACTTCATATACTCTACGAAATTTCTGAACTTGTTGAAATTTATTAAGTACCATAAAACCTTTAACAATTACAAAAGTTCCTGGGATATCTCTATCCTATAGATTTCTTAAGGTATTTCAAATAATAACTAAAACAATTATCACTTCTCAGTCCCAAATTGAATTCCAAATCATACAGATGTTAGCCAAACATACACGAGCATTAAACATAGAATGAAATACTCAACAACTTAATTTCATAATTTAATCAAATAAATTATTCATAAATTTATAATAAGGTTACATCAAAAAATCCCAAAATAAAAGTCTACTCCATAATTAAATTAAAAAGAAACAAACTTGATATGATTAACATCACTTAAAAGCAGAGAATGACAGTAGAATAGATAGGTTTCCTCCAATCTTCTCTAATTTTCATCCCCTGTTTCCTCTGCTTTCTGCCTCTTGTTTTGTATCTATTTTTGCTTTTGTTTTGTGTTGCCTCCTTTCCTCTTTTTAGTCTATTCTACGGTCTCTCTATGTCTCTGTCTATTTGGTTGAACCTCTTGTTTTCTTTTTCATATTCTGGACTTTTTACCCCCTAGCTGGCAAGAAGAAAATTTCCTTTTTTGTTTCGTCCATTTCCTTTTTACCTCTAATTTTCATATTCCTTTCCTCTCCTTGCAGGCCAGATTTGAGGCAGAAGATGTGTGAACTCAAAGATCTCTATTACTAGAGAAATTATAGAAAATCAAATCTTCTTTTCAACGACACCAATCTTGTAATTTATGGGCCTCTGGGACTTAAGATATGAGCCATAACCCGAGACAATATTTGGAGTTCATAAAGTTCGGGTCTGATTCAATCCCTGTTTTTCAACTTGTTTTTTGGGCTTCGAAATAGCAAAACTCATTTCTTTGCCCTTTATATGTTTTGTAGACCTTCATTTCATATATTTGAAAATGATAATAAAAGATTAGAACTAAGTTGTATAGCTTTCTTTGCAACCTAAAATCAATCAATATTTGATTTTACTACTGGAGTTTGCCTACTCAATAATCTAGTATCTAAAAACACATTCATTTTCCACGAGGTCAATAGTTCAAAAAGGGATTCAACATT